CAAATCCTCTCTTCCTCCAAAACAAAAAAGCAAGCTACTGATTGGGAGATTCAGGCAACACATTTAACAGAATAGTGACTATTTTGGATATATTTTAAAATATAAATTGATATAAAGCCAACAACCCAACCAAAAATGGACAAAGTACATGAACAGGCATCTCATAGGAAAGGAAACCTGTCAGACCAATAAACTTATGAAAGGATGCTCAAGCTAACTAAAAGTCAGGAAATACAAATTACAATAACACTTCACATCCATCAAGTTGGCAAGCATTTTTAAAGTCTGACAATATCAAGTATTGGTAAGGTGCAGAGAAACAGGAATTTTCCTACACTGTTGGTGGGAATGTAAATTGATATAACCACTTTGGAGAGTAATTTGGTAATATCCATCATTTCCACTCTCCCAGGAACATACCCTAGAATCTTGCTCACAGGGAGATATGTGAAAGATTGTTTGCTTCAGAATTATCTGTAAAAGAGAAAATTGGAAATAACTAAAACTCTCCCAACAGGAGAATATAAGAATAATCACTAAGTATTCATACAACAGAATTCTTTATACAGCAGTTAAAGAAATGAACAAAACTGCATGTGCCAAATGGACAAATCTCAAAATCAAAATATAAAGAAAAAAAAAAAAGAATAAGGTACAGAAGGATACATACACTATGATACCATTTATATTAAGTTAAAACATGTTAAATAGCATTATATATTGTTTATGATAATATGTATAAATAAAATAGTCATGGCAATGATATGTACCAATTTGGTAAACTGGATGCCTCTGAGGAGAGAAGAAAGGGAATGGTGTTAGGGAGAAACATATTCCAGAGGATATTCAACCATGTCTGTAATATTTTATTTTAAAAATAAAAACAAAAGGAAATATGGCAGAATTATGTTTATTATGTTATTTGTAATTTCCCATATGTTTGAAATGCTTTATTTAAAAAGTGAATAACTTTGGGGTGCCTGGGTGGCTCAGTCAGTTAAGGTCAGGTCATGATCTCACAGTTCATGAGTTTGAGCCCCACATCAGGCTCTGTGCTGACAGCTCAGAGCCTGGAGCCTGCTTCAGATTCTGTGTCTCCCTCCCTCTCTGCCCTTCCCCCTACTGGTGCCTGTCTTTCTCTCTAAAAAATAAATAAACATTAAAAAAAATTAAACAGTGAATAACTTCAAAGTAAAACCAGGATACAAATTATCTTAATTACTGATGAAATCCTGATAAATACACAAACTTAATCATAAAAATTGTCAAAATTCTCATTGTAACATACAAATATTTCAGTTTTAAGTATGTGTCCATATTACAAATAAATATGAGCTATCTAGACATAAATTGTCTAGATAACCCCGATCACAGGATTAAAAGTATAAAAATATAAATATACACACATGTGAGCAAAGATTGTAAAGCAACACTGAAAATAAACTAAACATAAACTTTCAAGCTAGAAGGGTTTGGGGTGACATTTCTTTAACTTTTTTATTACAAAAATTTTAATTTAACAAATGAAATGTTGCCAAAATAAATGTATTATGTACTTTTTGGGAAGTTTTTACTGTAGAAATAATATAGCAGCAGAGATTTAAACAAATAGTAGTTCTCTAGAAATGTACAGTACAAAGTAGTCACGTCCTTTTCTTTTTTTTTTTTCTTTTCTTTTTTATTTCTAGGAGAGAGAGAGAGAGAGAGACAGCGTGAGCAGGGAAGGGTCAGAGAGACAGGGAGACACAGACTCTGAAATCGGCTCCAGGGTCTGGGCTGGCAGTCAGCACAGAGCCCGACCCGGGGCTCGAACCCACGAACCGTGAGATCATGACCTAAGTGAAAGTCAGACGCTTAACTGACTAAGCCACCCAGGTGCCCCCGAGTCACGTCCTTTTAAAAAACCTTCCTCTAGACACTTGTGGGGATGAGCACTGAGTGTTATGTGGAAACTAATTTGACAATAAACTATTTGTAAAAACAAAACAAAACAAAAAAACTTCCTCTAAATTCTTTTCTTTCTGTTAAATGATCAGGTTAAACAAACAGGCACACAACAAAATGATGTGAGTCAAATCACTATCGCCACCCAAATTTGAAGGGCAATGGCAGTCAAGAATTTGTCTGGGAATGATACTTTGCTATGCCTTTAATTAAGGCGGGGCTTTTAAAACTCAATTGTTCCATTCGTGTCTCAAATCAATCAGATGAAATTCACCTTTTACGTGGCCTGAATCCTGATAGCTAGGCACACTTGATAGGTAATTTAATCATCTCTGGTGTAGACGAACGCAAACTCAAATTAGCTAGTGAAAGAGTTGGTCTTCTCTGAGATAGCTGTGCTTTTCCACTTTTATGCAAGAGCTGAGCTTCACCAACTGGCTAGCTGGAGGCGTTATTAAAAATTTAGTGAAAGAAACAAAGGTGTGCTCTGGTGTCTCTTGTTACCCTTTCTCCTGTTACTCCAGCAGACAAAAGGCATAGAACCTGCCTCATGAATAATGTGACATGGAATATTCACAATCTATTTTTAATGGAGGCAAGTAATAACATTAAGAGAGATATTTGCAATCTTCAAATTTCACACGGTAACAGGCGCAGTAATTTGTTTTGATTCTGAACTGAGGATATCAAGATATATTTTCTTCTTAAAAAGGCATACCGTTAACATCAAAATTACAACTTCTCATTTACAGCATAAACAGGGATTATGAAAATAGCCCCAAAGTTCTAAATGTCATCAGAGAAGGACAGGACAGATAACTAGATTTCAATCAGTCCACTTACCTCTTGATGCATCTTCTTTACTTTTGAAACCAGGTTGGAAATAATCAACCAGTATGCACAATGAATTCTGTGCGAAGGACATTTTGTGATCTTTATTCACTGGGAGTTTTGTTTCCCAGGACACTAGGAAGAGGTTCCCAGATGCTGTAACTGTTCACCCATCAGTTCTGGAAAATTATCTTCAACTGCATTATAAACAAATGTAAATTTTGAATGAGAGTAAACTGACATGGAGAGACATGGTGTTGAAAACCGACCAAGTACAGCCAAGGACTGAGATTTGGAGAGACTGGAGAAAAACAGTGTCAAAGCCCCCTTACCCGCCAACTCAGAGAGTGTCCTATGTGTTCGGTTCGTTCCCTAAAGTCTCAAGGAATTTGTCTTCCCATTGTGCTCTAGAAAGCAGAGCCAGTCAGAGTTAAGCAGGATTTTGTTTTCTCTGCTTATTTACCTACCACCTCAGCAAATACCCATTGATCTCCTATTGTGTGACAGGCACTGTTCTGGGAGCTGAAGATTCAGCAGTGACTGAATAAATAAAGCTCCATAGGACACTGTGCTCACTGCTGTATCCCCACCACCTAGAACAGTGCCAGGCACATACTAGGCACTCAGTCAATATGTGTGAGATTGGTTTGAATCAAAATGGACAATCTACTGGTGGTCACCATGGGCCATGCATACCTTGGATGAGAGATGTTAGAAGGAGCACAGGTAGTTGGGATTTAGGCCAGGACCTTATTCTAATTTCATTTTCTTAAGGACTGATTCATGCAAGAAGTTATTTCTGGATAGAGCCAGAAATAATCCGTATTCCAATTATACTACTCCTGATGCATCTTTAGATTTAGACCTGTGGTACTGAGGCAGCTAACCAATATCACACACTTTCTACCCCCTGCAGTCTCCACAGAATCAAAGTAGTCAGGGTTGAATTAGGATGACACAACCATATCCACATTTCATGGTCAAGGAAACTGGAATCAGGGAGGCCAAAGGAGTGGCCTAAGTCATACAGCATGTTGGTGACAGAGCTGTGACTAAGACTCAATTTCTGGACCTAAGGCCTGTGATTTCTTTATTCATATGGGAGCCTTCTGGCTTATAAAAGCAAAACAAAACAACAAACAAACAAAAACAACTCTATGGTCCTCAGAGGGACCTATGTATGTGTGGGACCATGAGGGACTCTACAAGATAGGTGCTTAGTTTTATATACCTAAGAATAAGAGGATTCTTATTAGAGAAGAAAGAAGGATCTTCTGTTAAGAAAGAAGGAACTTTGAGGTATAGAAGGAAACAGCATGTGAAAATCAGAGCAATTGGATCTTACTCTCTTTTGGATATTGAGTTGTCTGCTTTACTTTTAATACCTCACCGTAGTTTCCTTCAGTGCCAATGTCCACTACAGACTAAAACAAGTCTTTCCCAAATTCCCTATCTAAATGAAAAGCCATAGGTAAGAGTCTTAATACTTTATTAACTTAAAACATCACTCTAATAAATATGTATTAACAAACAAAATGCACTCCAGAAGATCTGAAAACATTTACAAACTTCATCAACGTAAAAATACCACTTTGTTTCCTTCTAGTACACATGGAAGATCACTTCACATGCCTGCTAGCTTAGACATCTTAAAAATATCACTGTAACAATAAAAAAAACTGAATATACACACGAATCTTGGAAGTATCTGTTCAGCCTCTTTTTTTGTTTACGCTTGATAAAATCCAAATGTGTCAGAAAAGAAGGTTCAAGATTCTGTTTGTCTTCTCCGAATTCCTTTGGAAGGTAAAAATCAGACCCAGCCACTCAGAGGTGCATCTGTTAGCTTTGGAAGGGCAGAGGCAAGGGCCATACCTCTAATCTCTGGCTCCCTGATGCCTAGTATAGGCCTGGAGCCTGTGGCCAATAAACACCTGCTGAGTGAACAGATGGCCTGTTGTCCAGAGGTACTGCTCTGTGCTTCCATCGCCTCTGATGAAGCCTTCACAAGCCTTCTGCAGGAAGGCTCCTCCTCTCCTCTCACCAATAAGTCCATTTTTCTTCTGCTCCCTCTTGAAACAGGCTGGACAGCATATTTTGTCATTTCAAAAGTATGAAACTCCTTCCCCAAATCAGTTTCTGAACCATTCTTCAAGTGGGAGAATTGATTCTTCCAAGATTTACAGGCAGCACCCAATAGAAAGGGGTTAACAGACTCCCCAGAAAAAAAAAAAAAAGACACTCATTTTTCATTCTAGATAAAAACATTAGCATGTGTCTACCTTGCAAATGGTGATTCTCCTCTTCCACACAAGTATCTGGGGTAGGTCAGGAGGAGGGAAGAAACCTGAAGGGCTTTCCTGTCTGTGGAGCAGGGCTGGGAATGAGAACTGCAGGGCCCAGGATTTTATCTGATCCCCTCTTGACTTTGAGTCTTCCTTCGGGTGTGGGGGAACCTATTCAGTGTGTTCATAGCCCAGTGAGTTATTTGGTTTCCACTCTGGGCTGAACTTTGTAAAAGTAACTTATCCCCTCTTGCAGTTCCAGGAGGTAAGGTGAAGGGGCTCACCCTGCTGGGATCTTCAGACTGGATGGAGGGCCTGAGATGTCGGAAGTGGATGATAGCAAGTCGGGAGGCTGTCCTCCGTAGTGTTGTATGCTTGCTTGCTGCTTGCAGCCAGCCAGGGCCCTCATTTGAGCCCATGCTGTGTCTCCCGGTGCCGCCTGAGGTCCACCTTCCTCTGGAAGCCCTTCCCACAAAGGTCACAGCCAAAGGGTTTGAAGCCTGTGTGCTTGCGGCTGTGGGTGATGAGGTTGGAGCTCTGGCTGAATGCCTTCCCACACACCTGGCATTTGTGGGGCTTCTCACCTGCAGGGATGGAGGAGGGGAGGGGAGGAAGTATGAGTCTATGATAAAGCTAGGGGGGACTCACTGTGACCCACATGCTCTTGGCAGCAGCTGGTTGCAACCCAGTCTAAGGCCTTCAAGTGACTTGGAGGGTGACGTGTTGCAACCAAGTCCTGGGAAGTCATGGGTACACCAGGTGAAAGGGAGACTTTCTGAGTGGGGGTTCCCAGCAAAAGGCCTCAAACCGTTTCCTGCTAAACGGAAACAGAGCAAAGGCCACGTGCCCAGACTCACAGCTGAATCCACCCTGGCAAGGCACCCCCGACTTCAGAAGCAGAGAGCTCCCACAGCAGATGTTCAATGTGGGGGTGGGGGCCTGTCCTTCAAACCATGTGACTCTGTTCTTATTCAGAGGAAGTTTTCAAATCTGAGTTTCCAAGTGGGCGTTGGTTTGTATGGACCAGTGAGCCTGTCTTCTTTCTTGCTCTTGAAGGACAATAGAATGTATCTGAAGCATAGACATTTCTCAAAGTCTTATTTTTAAAAATCCACCTTTGGGTCACAAAGTATTTCTTAAGATAGCTGATACTTTTCTATCTTGATTTTACTTTCTTTTTATAAGCATTCTTTATATCCTACTAAATCTTCACCACAGATTAATAAATAACACATAAAAAATGTTTGGTCTTCCCCCCAAAATCATGTGCTGTTTAACATTTGGGTAAAAAGCATGCATTTTCATATAGCCTCACCATGGCATTATAGTCAGGACTTGGTCTTGGAAAAATACAACAATAGATGAAGTTTGTTTTTGAGGAAACTTCTGTCCTTCTTGCTATGCCCCTTTCTGTCTTCATGCTTCAGATTTCAGATTTCAGAAACACCCATTAAAACTTACCATGTCCCTTTAGGGTCAAACAAATCTGAGAAACAAATTCTAGTTAAGATGTAAATGTTTGATAAGGACTTAATGTTTCATTCAGTCAAGATCCTAGTTGCATTTTGGTAAGTGTCTTAAATACTTTTACTCAAAAGGAGTGAGTTACATGGAAATTTCAGACAAAGGATCATGATTTAAATAGGATATTTTTCCGGGTTTTCTGATGGGGGCATCTACACTGCCCAAACATATTTATAAACATCAGTGGTAGGTGTTTGGAACACACTGGAATTTGCTTTAAATCAGTATTTATATTCCAGAATAAAATAGTCAGAATTCTGGGTCTCTTGTAAATGTATTATTTAGTATTAAAGAGACTGATCCTGGCAGTAAAACTAACACCTATATATAATCAAAATGTTAGAGAAAGAGTCCAAGATTGGAAACCAGAGCATTCCATGGCCTCAAGATTTACTCTTAGCCTGAGCTAAATCATTGCATCACCCTGAGTTTCAGGATGGTAAGACTACTTTAGGGGGTGGCAGTAAGGATCAAAAGAAGGGAAAGATTTGAAAGCAACTTGTAAATAATAAAGTATTACAATAGGTAAAGAATTATCATTATTACAGCATAAACTTGCTGATATTTTGAAAAGAGCAATAAGTAAATAGAAGTTTTCTACATCTACCAACCTTCATAACTCTGAAAATACAGTAAACAGTGGTCAAGATAATAGTGATTTGAGGGGCGTCTGGGTGGCTTAGTCGGTTAAGCGTCTGACTTTCGCTTGGGTCATGATCTCGCGGTTCGTGGGTTCGAGCCCCGCGTCAGGCTCTGTGCTGACTGCCAGCTCAGAGCCTGGAGCCTGTTTCAGTCTGTGACTCCCTCTCTCTCTGACCCTCCCCTGCTCACGCTGTCTCTCTCTCTCTCTCCTAGAAATAAATAAAACATTAAAAAAAAATTTTAAAAAAAATAAAGTAATAGTGATTTGAGATCAGACAGACCTGAATTTAAGTCCTGGCCCTGCCACTTGCTAACGGTGCCCTGGATAGGTTACCTCATCTTTCTGTGCCTCACTTTCCTCATCTCTAAAATGAAGACATGGAATAGTCTCTACCTCCCAGAGTTCTCGTGAGTATAAAATGAGATAATGCATTTAAAAAGGGCTTAGCAGACAGCTCAGTAATATTTACCACTGTTTTTTCCCTCCTCAGTCAGGATAAGCTCTTAGACTGGGGGAAAATAAAAAGGCAGCCAAAGGCCACACGTAAGTCCCTTCCCTAAAAGGCTGGGTGGGAGCCCTGCGGAGACTCCTCAATCTCTGGAGCTTCAGATTCCACCCGGAGCAGAGGAGCAGTTAAACTAGAGAAAAATAGTCTTTGCAAGGATAAAGAATCTGAGGCTGAGCAGCTGAGTGGTTCCTCAGATGCAGCCCCAAATCAAGGCCCCTGTGGGGAGCACCTTGTTTGTAAACAAACTTAAGAGAATCTGCCTGCTTGTTTTCTTGAATACACTGCAGTGATTAACTCCATCTAGAAGGCCTCGTCTACCACTCATTCTGCAGCCAGAACATCACAGCAAAGGTGAATTATACTGGCCTCAGAGGGAAGAACAATGCTCCCCCACACCAGCCCTCACCAGGTGTTTTTCTGCAAGCCCAGGGCCTTCAGCTTACCAGTGTGAATGAAGGTGTGTTTCTTCATGTCTGACTTTTGGTGGAACCTCTTGCCACAGTACTGACAAGGGTAGGGCCGGGTGTCTGAATGGATAAGCAAGTGTGTGGACAGCGTAGATGACCTCTTGAAGCTCTTGCCACAAATCTTACAGTCAAAGCTTCGTTCCTGTGGATAGAAAAATGTGGCATTCCTATTGCAGTCATCTAGGCTGCCATCTTCCTCACCACTAACCCAACCATAAAATCCCCAGAGCCAGGGCCCTCCCTTTCTTCAGGCTCCCCTTCCACTTAGCCTGACCCATCATTCTCTCTCCCCAGATTTATTTCCAACCTCCACCCTCTCCACCCCAACCTCTTCCCCTTTAACAGTTTTTCTACCCACTTTTCACCCACAACCCTCCACACCCCAGGGCAAAAATGTATCCCCACCCTGCCTTTTTGACACCCATTTACAAACAGTTCTCCACCCTCCTCGACAGGAGGCTTAGACCTCACTCACTCGAGACCACTGCCCCCTCCGGCCAGTGTTGAGAGAGATGGGAGAGTAGTACCCTTTTTAGTAAGTAAGTCTCTATAAGTAAGCATTCTCTTGTCATAGTTACTCGTGTACTTAATTGCTTATCTACTCTCTGTCACTCAGCCAAACTGAAAAGTCCTGTGGGGGCATCCTGTCAGGGACCTGATGTGTTACAGGATTCTCAGATGCTTAGCACCTGGAAGTTGGACAACAAATGTTAAAGGAATGAATGAAAGAACAGCAGGATAAATATGCTACTGGATCCTCTAAATGAGCTGACATCCCTTCTTTTCATTTGGGAGGGATCAATGCTGATTAAGTGACAGTCATTTGGTGATAAGAAACGAGGCAAAAACAAAATCGGAGCTAATAAATCTGATACATTAGCAGCAAGAGTGCACAAACCCTCCTCAAACCCAAAGTAATGATCCGCATCACCCTCTGGAGGCTTACAATGATGTGACACCAAACTCTAGGGCTGCCTGGAAGCCGGAGCCGGCCACCTTTCCCCCTACACACCTACATCCGGGCAAAGGGTCTTGGTGGAGGAGACTGGGGGCAGTCCGGGGACGTCCAGGGGAAAACATGGCAAGCGGAGAGTGGCCGGTGCTGCACCGAGAAACGGAACATCCCCGAAAGCGAACACCTGAGCAGGGCCGCGCGCGGCCTTGCGCCCCGCGCTTACCTGCGAGTGCACGGCTTTGTGCTGCTCCAGGCTCACCGCGTGCCCGAAGGTCTTGCCGCACATCTCGCACGCAAAGGGTCTCGTGCCGCTGTGGGACCTGCGCACGTGCACCTCGAGCCCGTGCGGCGTGGAGAACACCTGAGGCGGGTGGGGCCGGGGAGAAGGCCGCTGAGAGGGGCCGAGGGGCGCGGGCCGGGGGCGGGGGCGCGGAGCCAACAAAGCCAAGCGCGCAGAAGCCTCACCTTGCTGCACTTGATGCATTTGTAGGAGTCGCCGCCCAGCAGCAAGCGGGTGCACAGCAGCTCCGACTCCACCTTGACGCCGGCGCCCTTGTCCGCGTGCAGCCCGTGGCCACGCTCAGAGTACAGCCCGCCCGGCGCCGCCGCCGTCGGCCGTTCGAACAGCCCTGTCGCCGGGGGCCCGAAGTCGCCGTAGAGCCCCAGGCCTGCGCCGCCGGCAGCGCCACCTCCTGCGCCGCCTCCCCCGGGCGCCCCGGCCCCTGCGCCGCCCGCAGCCCGCTCCGGGCCGTAGAGCGCCGCGGGGTGGCCTGGCTCCGGGGCGCGCTCGCAGAAGAGGCCCAGGCCGGCGCCGCGCTCCAGGGCCGCGCACGGCCGGTAGCTGTGCACCAGGTGCCGCAGGTCGGAGCCCGCTAGGCCCCTCCACGAGTACGGCTTGAAGGGCAGGGGGAAGGGCTGGGCTTCGTCCAGCGACGGGCACACCGACTTCTCCGAGGCTGTGGAGGCACAAGGGGCGTCGGGTCAGGCTTCAGACGGCGGGGCGGAGGCCGCCCGGCGGCGTCTGCCCGTCGCCCGGCACTGGTGGCGCACTCCGTGCGCTAGACGCCGCCAGAGTAAACTGCGGACCGGTCTCTGGGACCTCGAGGACCACTGGAGGCGGCAGGGCAGCAAACAGATCATTAAAATGGCATCGGTCGAGGAGATGGGTAAATTTAGTGCCAGGGCAGAGGAAGCGCAGGACGTTAGGAGGGTCTTTTCTAGTGGAACCGGAGCACCTCGCGGTGCCACAGAGAAAAGCGCGCCAGGCCGTCTGTGCTGGATACATGCTCTGAGCTGAGCTAAGCAGAAGGCGGCCCCCGCTGGGGCCCGGACAGCGCTCCTGCGCCGCAGACGGCCCAGCGCCCAGCGCCAGCGTTCTCCCGGCCCCTACAGATTCCCACTCCGTCTTTTTTTCTTTCCGGGATCGATAAGGAAGGAGGGAGAGGACAAATAAAATGTAGCCCGACCTACCGAAGACACCTGTCTGGAAAAAAAAACGGGAAGGTGTTAACATTCCTAACAGTTACTCAATACCCAGTGCAAGTAGCAAAGGGGCAGCGGGAAGAAGGTTTGGAGCTTGAACTGCCTGCTGGATGCTCCCCGTTCTCATTCTTGTCATAGCCTGATAGGGGTAAAGCTCCACATTTTCCCAGAGAATAATTTACGTTTAAGGTTTAGCCACCACCTGCCAGTGCCATAGTGTTCCCACATTCGCGGCCTCTGTACCCCTGCCCAACGTGAATTCTGCTAAAACCAGACACGCAATGTATCCTTTCTCTATTTGCATGCGGATTTACAAATCTGTTCCCACACCGCACACTCCAGGCTAGCCGCTTTAATGAGAGGCTGCACCCCAAGTTTCCAGCGGAGAGATTCCCGCGGCACCCAGTCTTGGAGGGCGGTGTCCTGCACAGCCAAGAAGGATCATCGGATTGCAGGCTCCCAGACACACGAGCTGCAGCTATAGCTTTAGCCAAGTCAACGCACAGAATGAGGGATGGCGTTGGGGCTATCTTTCAAAACTAGTAAAGGCAATCTGGAAATGACAGGCACTTGGCAGATTCCAACTAGTTTGTATTCTCCTTCTCGGACCAGGACACAAGACTCGCCCCACCCAAAGTGCAGTCACTCGGTTTGCACAAAACTCCATTGCTGTCTGCAAATGTAGCCAAACGACTGGTCTCCAAGGTTGGGCCAAACAACCCCACAGAACGAAAACTGAAACAGGCCCCCAATCCGCGCTTGCAAAGATTCAGAGGAGGGCAGAGATTTCCGTCCTGACCCGTCCCTCCCGATTAGCGCCCAGCTCTCTGCGGGAGCCAGTGGAATTTTTAAAGACTGCCCGGGTTTCCGTTTGGGACCCCGGGGTCTGGATTTGGGGATCCCAGCTCTTTCTAAGCATTCAACTGACCAGCAAACGAAATGTCGAGGTTGCTGCAGAGACGACTCATTTATTTTCTCTCACCAACCATCTCGGCCAAACGAACCCAGGTCCCGCCGCCTCACATCAAAGCAGCAGCCCCTGCAAACCTGCTGACGCAGTCCCAGAGAAGCCAGATGTCTCCCCTACGGGGCCCTTACCCCACGAACAAGCGCTCTCCTCTCGGAAAGACCCTCCGCCATCCATTTAGTATTTCCGTCCCGTCAAAACTGCGTTAGTTTACTCCTCACCATGGGAGCCCTGCCGCCCCGGCCCCAGAGCTCCCAACCGGCTCCTACCTGGAGACACAGAGGGCGACGGAGGCCTCCAGAAATCCTCGAACTCTGAGCTCCGGTCGCAGACGCTGCCCTCACAGCTGCCTGGAGATGCGGAGGCTCTGTCAGGGGCCTCAGTCATCTGCGACTCGGGAGACAAACGACCCCGGGGCTCTGTCTTCGCCCCTCCTGCGCTCGAGGTGCTGTCTGCGGAGAGGAGGCAGGATAGGAGCTCAGGCTGGGCCTAAATGGGGCCAATGGTTCTCAAGTGGCGGCGCCCCCAGCCCGTGGCACCCGGGTGTCCTCTTTTAGTTCCCAGACCTGGCCGGGAACCCTTCCGGATCCGAGGGCCGGAGCAAAGAGGCCGTGGCACCTAGGCGACGAGCCCGGAAGGGACCCAGACGGTTGGAAACAAAAAGGCAGCAAAGGGGGCGTCAGGGTCGCCCTGCCCGGCTCCTTGGGGCATGGGTGGTGGAGCGCAGAAGCTACGTCCCTGGGAGCAGCCCCGCCCGGTCCGCGCGCGCCCCGCACCTGCTCCGCCTGGCGCCAATACATTCTCCAGGCGGAGGGAATAGTCGGGTCCCGGGGAGCGCGGCTGGTGGTAACTGTGAGCCTTCTTGCTCTTGACCAGGAACGAACGCGGCATGGTGATCCGGCGCGCCCCCCACTCCGCTCCCTGGAGCCGCCGTCAGCCCACTGTCACTTCGAGTTCTTGCTCTGCCCCAGCCAGGCGGAGACCTGCGAGAGAAGAACCCGGTGGAAACGCGGGTCCGCACGCTCTTGGGCCGGGGACGGGGCAGCCGGGTGGAAAGGGAGCCTCGGCCGGGGAGGAGCGAGGAGCGCCCGAGGGAGGAGGGGCTGGGCCCCGCCGCGCCGCGCTCACCAGGTGGCACTCGGACAGGTGGCGCGAGCCCGCCGCCGCCGCAGCTCAGCGGTAAAACCCGTCCCGGGGCTGGGGCTCAGGCCTCTTCCTTCTGCCCGGCCCACACCCCTTGGCCCCTCCCCTTCCCTAGCAAAACTTGCTCCGTCAAACTCTCCGGAGAGCCGATGTCCCCAACTGGCCAGTTACCCCAAGTCGACCACTCATTGCCTGCCTGGCCTAGTTTTCTGGCCGGGGAGGAGAGCAAGGACGGGCTGATCAATCTAGGGCCGAGGGATGAGCTCGTGATCGAGGACCAGGAAGGGGCTCGGAGCCAAGCACTCCGAGAGCCAGCTACGAACTGGAGGGAGGTGGTGGGGGGGGGGGAGAGGGCGCACCAGGCTGGCTGAGCGGAGGGTTGGGAGGCTGCAGCGGAGGGACTGAGAGCCGCAGAAGTTGGAGAAAGGAGGCAGGAGAGAAGAGGAACAGGAAGGTGGCGGGATGGGGGATGGCAGAAGGCTGACCCCGTCCGCGGCTGGAACTCGCACCCCCGTGATGCCCCTCGCTCTTCACTCGTGCCTCAAGCGAGGAAAAGGTTGACCTGGAGACGCGAGTGCGGCGGGAGCAAGCAGAGTCTGGGGCGACACCTAACCTCGGAAACCAAGTCCCGGGAAATAACTTTTTTCGTTCTGCTCACCGAAAACCTTGTCTAGGGGAAGTCGAGCCCGACTCGGGCGCGATGGCTGTAAACCGCCTGGCGTCTGCAGTCCGCGAAGAAACAGCAGTTTAGCCGACGCGGAGAGGGCAGGGTGCGCTGCCCAGGGCGGCGCGCCGGGGTCCGGGCGCGGGCCGGGGAGGGAGCTAGCTGCCCGCTGCGCCGCTCTCATTAACCCCCAATCAGTTCACCTAATCCCGGGGTCGAAACCTGAGCCCAGCGGTGAGGCGGGGCAGAGCCTCCGGCTCCGCTTGGGGCTGCTCGGGGGCGGAACCAGGCCGGCGACTAGGTCTGGGGAAAACGAATTTGCCGTCCTCTCCGAGTGAAGGCGATGGGCGCCGCGCTCACATGGGAACTGCAGGCTCTTGGGGGCTCAGCAGCTCTCCATGCTCTTGGCAAGTTCAGTAACAAGGGTGCTGGGGGACCGCAGGCGGGGACGACCACCTCGTCCTTGGCCTTCGCGACGCTTAGGCTGCCAGACTAGAGCTACGCTGCGCTCAGGGCAGGATGCAGGACACTAAGACTACCTGTTGGCGCTCCGGGCTCAACACGAGTACTCAGGGACTCCTTCCCTCCAGGGCATTCCACGTCCCACGGTGGAGGTGGGACAGGCTTGGGAGAAGAGTCGGCTAGGACGTCTATCGGAATCCCAAGGCACCTTTCCGGAGTCCTAAGAGCCAGAGGCTCCTAGGAGTGAGGGTGCCACCCGCCCCGGCCCAAGTGCACCCCTAGGGTCGGGACTTCAGGAGGCTTGGGGGTGCTGGCGCTGCCCTAGGGCGCAGTCCGGCCACCACGGTTTTCCCTGGGCCTCTGCGTGAGCCGCCACTTCGGCCTTATAAATTAGACCCCACAAACGCAAAAACGAATTCCTTAGACAGCCATGAAACTCAGAGGTAAAGGAACACGGGGTGAAACGGTCTCGAGGGCCCCGCTGAGGCTTGGGTCTGCGTCGGCGCCAAGTCGGTCGGGGAGGGGGCAGGGGGAATTGTCGCGCTGGCGGGGACTGCGCGGGATCAGGCGGGCCCAGAGGCGGCCTCTCCCCCCAGGCGGAGCCCCGCGCCTCTCTCGCATGCCGGCTGGCCCTACCCGATCCTGGAGGAGTGGAGTGGGCTGGGTAGTAGGGCCGAGGGCCGAGCGCGTGGGAAGGCGACCTCGCGCAGCAGCTGGCGGCGGGAGGGCGGGGCGGCCCCCTGAGCGCACGCGGGCCGGGGCCTCTCTTCACGGTCTGGTCCCGGGAAGGCGGGAGTGGAGGCGCGGAGGGGCAGCCTCCTGATCGCAGTTGCCACCGCCTCCCCACCAGATGTTTCCTTCCCGGATGAATCCTGCTCCTCTGCGCCAAATCCCCTGCGGATAGGGCTCTCGGGGCTCCCGCACAGTGGCCAGCTGCGGGCGGGAACCCGGCAGCGCCCTCTGGTCGCCCCCGCAGCGGCTGTGCCCCGTTAGTCCCCGCGGCCGCCCCCACCAGGGGGGCAGGCGCAGAACAGGCGCAGCGGACCTACCTGCGGGGTCAGGGCACCGACGCTGCGCTCCGAGTTTTCAAACTGAGTTGCTTTCGGAGAGACTGTGTTCTCTCTCTCTCTCTCTCTCTCTCTTTTTTTAATCTCCTTCCGAGCTCAGCCCCCAAAACCACAAGCTTCACTTCCTGAGCGTTAAGGAGTAGCTCTCTTAGCCCTCTCAGACCTGCCCCCCAACCCCCAGTCTGGGCGCGCTCCTTTGCGCAAGGGGCTTAGGAGGCGGACCCGGGCCGGCCTTTCCAGCCGCCCTCCCAGAAGGTCCTCCGCGTTTCTGCTCTGTGGGGCTGCGGAGGATGGGGAGGCCCGGAGGGCCCGACACCCAGGCACTGGAAATGATTCAAAAGAAAATGAACCATTGTTGGCTCTCGGGAGACTTCCGCAGCGAGAAGAAGTCACAGATTCAGGACAGAGATTGACTGGAGCGCCGGGGAGTAGAAGCGCCCAGCTCCAAGGAGGCCTCCCCGCCCCTCTGCCCCGGGACACCCCCACCCCCACCCCGCCGCCTGTTTGGGCCGGCTACCCCCGGCTGGGGGCCCGTGAATCACCGGCGGACGCTGCCGCCGGCCTGGAGCCCGGCGAGTGGCCGCGGCGTCCGCAGAGCGAAACCTGCCCCTCTGCCCCGAAATAGCTTGTTGTGGAAACACTTCGGGATAAATACGCCCAACGAGGCTGAAAATACCTTGACACCCAATCCGAGAGGTTTGCTCATTTCCCTTCGGATTTAGGTAATGGTTAAATTTGGAAAGGGTGGGCGAGCGTCGAGCCCCCGGCGGAGAGGGCGCTGGCGGCGCGTCCCGCGGGCGCCCGGCTAGCCTGGCGGGCGCGCCCTCCCCACGCACGCTCCCCCGCGCTCTGCCCGGTGCCCTCCGCCCGCCGCTAATTTCCGGTGGTCGGAGCTGCGAAATTAAAGACTGCGCGGGAGGGAGCGCGCGGGGGCAGCGGCGGGGGCGGCGACGGCTGCGGCTCGGCTGACCCCGCCCCGGGCCGCCGGGGAGAGCCGTACCTCGGGCACCTGGTCCGGAGAGGAGCGATGCGACGCCTTAAAGCGCCACCCCGATGACTATGGAAAAGCAAATCTTCGCTTGGATTGTGTGTTCCTTGAGGGTAGGCACTGGATCTTCACTGTCAGGTCCCTGATAGGCTCTTAAGAAACGTCTGTGGACTGAGGAAATGAATGAAAGGAGTTGATTAAGTATTCTATTAATAGAACAGGGAAAAATGTAAACTCCACCCATAAGTAGACAAATGCAGCAACTTCCAACGCTAGATGTCTGCCATGATCCATAGTGTGGCCTGTTGTGTATGCTTAAACCCAAACCCTTTCCTGACGGGGTTGGATGTCGTTGTAATTACGTTACTTTCCTAAGTGAATTGAGCTAGATTTTGATCGCTACTTCATGCGCAGTAAGTCTCCAGCGTCAGATACCGGGAGAAGGGAGTGTCGCTCCTCAGTTCTTGGAAAATAATGTGCCATATTTTAGATTAAGCCACAATTGTCCTGGAAGAGTAAGGTCCTTGTAGCCCTTCGCATAGAGAGAGATTTTTTTTTAATGATTTTTAAATTTGCTTTGTAAACCCAAAGATGTGCAAAAAATATTTGGTTACCATGGCGGTAGTTCAAGCATGCTTTAATAGATCGACACTTTATATCTCAACGGTCCTACATCTACTGTGTGCCAGGTGCTGGACTAGACACACGTTTTAATAGCCTGCCTAGCTGTTCTCCTTACACTACTGTTCATTTATTCTACATGCCTTTCCTTATATTGGTTAGCACCCAGAGGTAAGCAATCTTAATCAGAAGGATTACAGATATTGAATAAACTGAAGGGAAAGTAAGGCATTTTGTATGTACACTTTTAGTTCTTATAGTCTTTGTCCTGGCCTAACGTATAAAAACCTCAAAGCAGTCCACAATAGAGCTTTACGTTATTCCTTCCATCCTATGCTAACAGTAGAAAAGGGCAAAATATTAAAAGAAAATTATAAGTGGAACAAAAGGAAATTTATTATCAACCCAGTTCTAGAGAAATGGCTGAACCATTTCCTTTGCACATGAGCAAGTTCAAAGTCAAAATTTCTTGAAAAGGCAAAGTGACCGGTTAGTACTTTAGTTGAATGCTGCTGTTTGAAATCTCAGAAAACATGGGGGAGGCTATGAAGGGGACAAATAATCACCTTTACAGTATCACTTTAGAATAAAGTCCTTTCATTCAGATTGAGTCTAGTCATTTTGCTTAGTTTGCAAATTCATCCTCTGAATTTGTAAAATAAAACTGAGGACTGGAACAGGGAAACCCAGAGAAAAGCAGGCAGGAGGGAGATGGCAGAAATTTTCTCTTTATAATCTTTTAAATTTTGAACCATATAGATATATTACTATATGTTTATATAGTGTATTTTAAATACACATAAAAATATTTGACTAGAGAGATCAGGTCATTTCCTAGGTATACAGTGTCAAAATGTGACTCCCACACTTAGGGGGAACAGAGGAGAAAAGTAAGAAGTGGGTCACCCAGAGAGGTTAATAAACTTGCAGCTAAAAGCCAGCACTGGAAATGATGATACAATGAACTTGACTTCCCACTACTTCAAACTACCTCTCATTTACCACTAAATGGAGAATGAAAAGAATAAGACACCTTCGCTCCCAAAGTGCACATCTTTAAAAGCTGAAAAGAATCCTCCCCTGAGTGTGCTCCTTTGGAACTAAGATAGCTCTAATGGTAAGCAGAAGGTAGGCTTGGAGTGTAAGTTTCTATACATACTGGTTTTCTAAAAAGAGGATGTTAACTACACTATTTTTGTCAGTAATTTACTAACTTGTCCTTAAATAATAATAATAATATATCTGTAGATGCTAAATGACAAATGACGTTCTTCGTATCACGGGCATTTCCAAGTCCTGACCAGTGGCCCGTTTATTTCAAGCAGCATCTCATAGAACAGAATTCCCCTACAACAAAAGATCTGAGACTTAAAAAAAAAAAAATTGTAACAAACGATTACTCGTTTCTTGTTTATTTTTTCACAAAGCTTTACATTTACCATCTCTGTTCTATTTGGGGTTGGCCCAGGAAGAGCGGGGATCCTGAAACCACAGAGACGGGCAATGCCCCATTTCCTCATTTGATGCTCACGGCAATGCTACCAAGAGGGGAAAGAGTTCAGGATTTTTACAGACAGTCATTGGTGGAAATGAGTCTCTGTTCTCTCAATTACTAGCCCTGTGACCTCGGGCAAGTTAACTCTCCCACCCTCAGCTTCTCGCCTGTAAAGTCAGAATAACTACTTACCTTGTAAGACCATGGAGCAGCCCTTTGCTTTTCACTTTTCAAGGATTCCTCTGGGCACCAAGAATGGAAGAATTCTCCTAGTAAGAGTGTCCTAGGTTTAATCTTCTTGTTCTACGTGCTGCTTCAATTTATTCAACTTTGCATAAGTAAACTTCATCATAGGCATTTGCAAGGACTTGGATTTCTTTTTAAATCAAAGGGCAGAGGAGAATGAATCAGGATCACTTTTCATTTGTAGATATTTTATAGATCTATTTAGGGGATATTAAGTGAGTAACTGTTTTAGGACTTAGTTTGCCCATCTTTAAAATAGGAGATGCCTGTCATGTGTCAAATACCATGAGCTGTTGGCTGAGAGTAGCTATGGAAGATACAATGAAAGTAAAATCAATGTTTAATAAACACGTAAAAAAAAAATTACAGGATGGGACTGGGCATGAAGCTCCTTCATAAGCCAGACAAGAGATTTGGTGTATAAGAAGGTGGTTTATTTTTTAACTCCAATTTTTCACTATAAATTATAATACATATAATTTACTAAAGAAAAAAAGAAGAAACCCCAGTAAAACAACATCCCAGTATTTTTGCTCCGCTTTAACCCACATAATTATAACCATATCAAAGCTATACAAGTGTATTCTTTTTTTCCAGTGAATATTAGAATCATATTTCTTTCTAGTCTCTTTACTTTCAGATTTCCTTTAATAATAAAAATAATAAAATTATTTAAATAAAAATCATGACATTTTCCTTGCTTTAATATTATCTTTCATCATTCTCAATGGCTAAAATAGGATTCTATTATCTAGATTACTTATAATTTATGCAATCATTCCGGTCATAGAATTTAGCTTGTTTTCATTTTTTACTATTTTAAATAATGCAATGGAAAGTTTTCCAGATATAGTTTTGCCCACAGTTTAAACTGTTTCTTTAGGATATATTTTGAGGGGTGGAATTTCTGGATCCAGCAAGGCCCTTGAACATACCAGAAAAAATGTTTGGGACAGCACGTTTATGTAATGCATCAACAAAAGAATTCATATCACTTAACAAACAGTTAAACGACTGTAAAAATCAACTATGGAAAAGTGAGACCTTGGTTAAAGAACAGACATAGAACAGGTCTTTATTTTGTGCAGAAGAAGTATTTGTTAGAGAGTAGCCACACTGTCATATTGGCATGTTTTCTCCCTCTTAGGATTAACAATTATTTAATTTTTGCCTTCAGATTAGCTATTTTGCTGAGTACAGGCAGATAGAAATACAAGTTTTTATATATTTTCTCAATTGTACGAATTCAAAGAAAATAAATGCAGGGTGATAATTGTGTGA